GCTTGGCTTATCAAGAATCTCAAATTGGGTATAATTGAATTAAATCAAATCCAATTTGAAATTTAATTGAACTTAATTTAAGTAACTTTCCAAAAATAGATCATCGTATATTTGGAAATAATTTCAAATTCAAATTGATTGGAAATTGAAATCGATAGCTTTCCTAATTTAAGATGTTTAATAAATGGAAAGTGTTAACTAGAGATTTGAATTTTGGACCGGCAACATGGAGGGGGAGGGGCCTTGGGCCGATGGTTTGGAGGTGAAAGAGTGTTGGCCGGAGTTATGGGGGTGGTGGGGTTCGGCCGAGAGAGAGAAAGGGGAAGTGATGGCCGGCGGTTTGTGGGGAAGGAGAGGAGAGGAAGACCGAAGAAGGAGATTTCGACCACGAACTCGGACGCTTCCTGTGGTTGGTGGGTATTGCGATGCCCATACCTATGAACTTCAATCTCTCCAAGAACTCTCAAGCTCTCCCAAAACACACAAGTGCATAAATTTCTTGTAATAACATTCATTAGCCTCTCCAAAGAGGAGGAGGGAATATAAATAGCTACGGTTTACAATAAAAAAATAAAAAAGACACAAATGCCCCTAAGGGTCGCAAATAACTATTCCCTCAAGTGAGAGTAAAAATGAAAAAATGCATAAATAAATCAAATACATATAATGACTCAAAAATAAATATGTGCGATCTTCGTGGCCATAGATCGTCAGCCCCGTCTCTGGTAGACTCTCCAAGGTCGGATGTCCTCATCAGTAAGGCCTCAAAAGGACACAAACTTTCCTTCTCAAGATCTACTGATCACCAGTGCAAACCATTATAATTAATACACATCGATGCATGGGGTCCATATCCGATCCCTTCTACTCAAGATTTCAAGTGCTAATATTTTTTGTGGATGATTCTTCTCATTATTCATGCATTTTTTTCACTCATGTGCAAATTTGATGTTCCATCTATATTTATTAAATTTCATACTACAATTGAAAAGTAGCTATCCCTCAAAATTAAACACCTACGCTATGATGGAAAAATGAAATTCTTAAACCATACTCTCCAAAACTTTCCACAACTACATGTCATATCACATCAAATTAATTTCCCTTTCACTCCCGATTCTCAAACAAAATAGCCTCGCCGATTGAAAACACTGAACGAAAATATCGTCATATCCTCGAAACCATAAAAACCTAACTTCACACTACCCATCTTCACTACAACCTATGGCTTGACTCACTACTCATTGATGTTTATCTTATCTACATTATGCCTTTCCCAAACGCTTCAAACAAATCAGCATATTAACTATTATACAAACATTCACCCAACTACGATCACCATTGCATCTTCAGATGCACTTGCTTTCCTCTCTTATGTAATAACCCAAAAGTGTGAAATGAATTTATTTGAAAAACATAAAAATTTTGAAGTAGAGTGTTGTGGTGCTAGGCTACTAATAGTATTTATATATTTTTTTTATTATAAATATCTTTGCCTCGCTCAACTTCCTCCCTCACTTGGTTACGTGGTAAGGAAGAAATTGAAGGAGGAGAAGAAGAGAAAGGAAAGATAATGATCTTTGGGTCGCATTTATCTATCGATTCTATTACGGATTTTACTTCTTTCATTGTAAGTAACTAACTTCTTACTTCTGTTTTTGATGATTTTGATTTCTATGGATTTTTCTACTAAATCTACCAAAAATACATTATATCATGAATGAAACAATAATTGAATAATCTTGAGCTCTTTGGATTCCTCTAGTCGAAACACTCGCTTTGATTGTAAAATATTGTAAAAGTTAGATCCTTCAATTAATGTTATAAACATTTTAATTATGCTTTAAGTACTCAATATAGGCTCATTCGAAGTCAGGCCAAAATGCTTCTGCTGACATTAGACTCATCTATTTTCAATGTTCTTTTTTATTATAAATTTTATGAAATTAGGGTTCAAATCATCCCAAATTTAATTCCATACGTTTTTCAATTCAAATATTACATTTCAATTCATGCTTAATCAAATATATTTTTTTAGACGTGTCAAATATTAATTTTAGCCGTTTACTTTTCTATCATATATATAATGATGTGAAATTTTGATGTCTATTTACAGTTTTCTTGCATGACATTTTAGTAATTTAGCCAAAATCTGCGCTCCATTAAAAGGCTCATGTTGATTCCTCCTATCATAGACCATTCATTTGATATTTAATCTCTTAAATGATATTGAAATTGAGTGATCTTAGTTGTATTGAATTCCTCTCGTCGAGATGATCATTTCAACTATAATCATACAAGATTTGAAAATCTTTTGTTATATTAAATAACATCATGAAGTTTCTAGTTACACATTAAGTGTTTGATTTAGAGTTATTTGGACTTGAATCTGAACAATTGACAGCCCAATTTGCACTAAACCACACCGACACCCGCGACAACATTTTATCAACATACTTTAGATAATATTACTTCTGCTTTTAACTGTTTATTCAACACATTATATGAGACTTTGTGGCTATACCACTGCAGGTTGCTATTGCATCAGGGGAAGGAAAATACATAGAAATAGTAAGAAATGCACAAAAAGGTCTCAAACTTCATAAAGTCTTATGTGTTGATGCAAAAGGCTTACCACTTCAACCTGATTACTTGCATCTCACAACCCAAGCTCAAGTAACACTTGGTAACATGTTGGCGGATGCTTACTTGAATCATACAGGACACCCTTCTCACTCAATTCGTGATTTATAATTATTGTCACAGAAGAAGAAGAAGATTGAAGGTCACAAAATGGACATTTTATTATTTATTATGTCATATAAGATGTTACTTGTGAATGTGTTGGATTGTTCTCAATTGAGTTTCACAAAATACATCCAAGGCATTATGGCCAAAGCAAAAATGCTAAATGTCAATATAGGCTTCATTTGGGATGGCTTTTTTACTGCTTTCTAAAGCAGCTTTTTAATTTAAAAATTCATTGAATTAGAATTTTTTATACCAGAAAGTTGTTTTAGAAAGCAGTAAGAAAGCTGTTCCAAACGAAGCATAGTTTCAACATCATTGTCATTTGTCAAATAGTAATGTGCATGAGCTGCTTGATGTCAGCTTTCTTGATGATGTTGTGGGAGTTCAACTTCATCATTGATGTCTTATAAATGGCTCTCTTAGTTTATGCATTGTTAGATAAGTGGCCACTGGTCTGATCTGCTGGCAAACATCTATCATGTTGCCTTCTTGGTACAATTGAAGATGGAATACATATTCGAAGTTACTCAATTCAACATTGTATTTTCTTGTATTCTCTAGTGTTGGTTGAACTTCCCATTAATGTTTATGCTGTGTTCATTGGGTTTAACATAATATCATGGAGCTCCCAAAAAAAAAAAAATCGTTGCTTGATACTCCAATTAAAAATTATTTAAGAAAAAATTATATTATATTTAATTTAAATTATATTTGTTGGGAGCTGGAGTATTCGCCATGATAAGATGAAAAATTAATATCTACTTTTTATGAAAATATAGCACATACATAAATAAAAAAAGAGTTTCACGGGTCACGGGAGAGACTAACATTTTTACATGAAAAATATGAAAGGAAAAAAGGCAGGATGCATGGCTTATTTGAAATAATCCACTATTTAAGAAAATTTTCAAAAGTTTACCTTTCTTGTTAATTTGGAGAAGATTAGATTACAAAGTTATAAACACTAGTTATACCTCTTATATTTACAATAGGGATTGTATGAGAAGTAGTGAAGAATGATGACAATGGTCAAGGTCAGATGATGATAATCAAGAGACGATTTTGGGGAGGATAATCAAGTAACGAGATTCAACCGACAACGTTCAGGCGATGATGATTGAGTGACAATAATCAAGAAACTGTAATTGTGTGACGGTAGTTGAGAGACCACAGTCAACCGACTATAGCCTAAAGATGATGGCCAAGAGACTAAAGTTGAGATACAACGGTGAAAAAATGAGCGGTCGAGACAATGTCAGCTGAGAGGTGGTGATAAGACGATGATGACAGTAGTCATCGACATTGATCATATGATAGCTCTAAAGTCATTCATATCTCTAAGCTCTCCACAATTCAAGCCCAAGTCTAAACTCCCGCTCTTATGTAAAAATAATCTATTCGAGTTTTGAGAATATCATTTTAGTAAATCTAGCCAAATCCAAAATAGTTTAACATATGAATATATTAATTTCCTTAATAATAGATCATTCTTTCATTATTTAAGTAATTTAATGATTTCATAATTAAATTATTTTAGACTCTTTTATCCATTTGATTATAAACATGTAATACTTGAATACCATTTGATCATTTAATTAATATAATAATATTCCCCCCATCCCCCCGAATTTTTATTGCCTCAGGTTACCTGACGTAGAGATACATCAGGTAGCCTATAATATATAGTCGCGTGCTCTTACTCTTTACCACGCGGCCCGACGACCCAACCCGGAACGAATATTGCTAAATATTGAACATATATCGCCAAAGAACTCGGTATTGAACTTGGTATTGCTCGGTATTGAACTCGGTATTGCTCGGTATTGAACTCGGTATTGCTCGGTATTGAGCTCGGTGTTGCTCGGTATTGAGCTCGGTATTACTCGGTATTGAACTCGGTATTGCTCGGTATTGAACTCGGTATTGCTCGGTATTGCTCTGTATTGAGCTCGGTATTGCTCGGTATTGGTCTTCACATAATAGTATTTTTCATTTTTGTCGAGTAAAATTGACCAATACCTAGCAATACCAAGCTACGCAAACTCCCGGGTCCGTTTCGGGTTGGGTCGTCGGGCAACGCAGTAAAGAATAAGAGCACGTGCGATATATTATAGGCTATCTGATGTATCTCTATATCAGGTAAGCTGAGCCAATAAAAATTCCATCCCCCCGGTCAATCCGCCACTGATAAAGTGAATTTTTTCATGACGAGTCAACGTTTCTAAAAAAATATGGAGTCGTAACGAAAAAAGCCCCAAATAGAGAGAACGGTCTTTGCTGCAACATTAACATCGTATGTGCTGTCGGAATCCCTAAGTTTTCTTCTTTTCCACATTGTACAGTGAATCACCGGTGGAAATTAACAAAACCACTCACAAATTTCTCAGTCTTCCTTTCTTTAAGCCTGAAATGCTTCATCTCCTCACACTCCTCGTCCTCCTCTCCGCAGCCACGGCCGCCCAGAAAAACTCCATCTTTCTCCTCGCCGGACAGAGCAACATGTCCGGCCGAGGCGGCGTCACCGGAAACAGTTGGGACCACTTCATCCCTCCGGAGTGCCAGCCGAGACCGGACATCCTCCGCCTCAACGCCGGCCTCCAATGGGAAAAAGCGGTTGAGCCCATCCACGCCGACATCGACGTGTATGCAACGTGCGGCGTGGGGCCCGGCATGCCGTTCGCGCACGCCGTCTTGGCTGCCGGCAGGGTGGCGACCCCAGTCCGTCTGGTGCCTTGCGCCGTCGGAGCTACGCGGATCCGCGAATGGGCTAGGGGAACGGCGTTATATCTTAACTTGATGCGGCGCGCAAGTGCGGCGATGGCGGAAGGAGGGAAGCTGGCGGCGGTGCTGTGGTATCAGGGTGAGACTGATACGATTTCCAGGGAGGATGCGGTGGCTTATGGGGGAAGGATGAAGACTCTGGTTTCCGATCTGAGGCGGGATTTGGGGGATCCGGATCTGCTCATTATTCAGGTATGCGATTATTAGCCGTCCGATTCAGTCGAAACTAGTAAATAATTTATAAAAATAAAAATTATATTATATTCCTATAGATATTATAAATTAAAAGCTTTTTTTACTTTACTTGTTTTAAAATTTTTAATTGTAAGTAGTCACTACTTAAAAAGACATAATTCATGATATTAAAAAGACATAATTCATTTATATCACATATTAACCCACTTTTTAATGTAAATAAATAAATAATAAGTTGAATAAATTCAATAACTAATTTGCGGGAAAAATGGGCATAATGCTCTAAACTGTTGGCACAGGTGTAATCTAAAATACGCTCCAACAAATCCCTTTCCCAACTCTCGGGCACTGTTCACCCAACAAAATCAATCTATCACAAACGACTGGGTTATGGACTCCGGGGCGTCGACCCACCTCACTCCGGACATCACCAATCTCCAGCAGATCTCGCCGTATCAAGGACCGGACTCAGTTTCGGTTGCAAATGGTTCATCTCTACCGATTCACAACTCTGGGCAAGGACTTCTTCCTCTTCCCGAGTCGGCTCGTAAGCTTCACTTACGAAATATACTACATGTTCCGAATTTAACACATAATTTAATTTCAATTTCTAAGCTTACCACCGATAACCATGTTTCGATCTGCTTCGATGCTAACGGCTTTGTGATTAAGGATCAAATGGACCACCGTCCTCTTCTTCATGGTCGGCTGCATAACGGTCTCTACACTCTCCGGGACATCACGACGAACAACCACCCGCAAGCTCACATGACTACCTCTGGTCTCGCTCAGCGCTGGCACGAATGTCTAGGACATTCAAATCAGGGAACTCTACGGATCTTGCGCAATTCTTTACCACATCTTGATTCGATTTCTAATTCTTTCTTATGTACCTCGTGTAATTTGGCCAAGAGCCACAAATTAGCATTTCATAAAAGCACAACTAGTTCTCCGTATGCGTTCTACTTAATTCATACTGACGTCTGGGGTCCGGCATCTCATTCGTCCCTAAATGGGTTTCACTATTATGTCATCTTCATAGATGATTATACGCGGTTTAGTTGGCTATATCTTATGCATTCGAAATGTGAAACTTACTCTAAATTTACACATTTCTGCCCCTTAGTCAAAAATCAGTTCAATGCCACACCGAAATTCCTTCGGTCCGACGGAGGAGGTGAATACAACAGTGCTCAATTCAATCAATTCCTCTCAGCTCACGGCATTACACATCAACTTAGCTGCCCGCACACCCCGGAGCAAAACGGATTAGCCGAACGAAAGAATCGCCACTTGTTGGAAGTTACCCGAGCTCTTTTATTCACGTCTCATCTACCCAAGAACTTCTGGGCTGAAGCTGTAACAACTGCAAACTACCTAATTAATAGATTACCTACTACGGCTCTTGCAGGGAATACACCATATCAAACACTTCATCAAACAGCCCCATCTTATACCCACCTTCGCACTTTCGGGTGTCTATGTTTTCCCTGGCTTCGGCCCACAGCTCCAGACAAATTATATCCTCGCTCTCAATCCTGCATATTCGTGGGCTATTCCTCCCAACACAAAGGCTATCGCTGCTTGAACATCAGTACCAACAAAATTCATGTGTCAAGGCATGTCACTTTCCATGAAAATATTTTTCCATACACTAATTCCTTAACCTCTACAGATCCGCCTCTTAGACCGGAAGGCAACAATCCTACTCACATTTCGCCTCTGCTCATTACTCCCGTGACAACTCAAAAGACTACTGACACAATCCAAAAGGCTGCTCTCGGCAATCCTCAGCTGGACAATATCACACCTCCTCCCCAACACAATTCACAGCCATCCCGTGAACCGCAGACTAGTCCAGCCGAAAGCTGTCCAGCTAGCCCTGCGCCAGCAACTCGTCACCCAATGCAAACGAGGGCCAGATCAGGGATATACAAACCTAAGCAGTTTTTTGACTTGTGTACAACAACAACAACACATAACCAGTCTCCTTCTACTTACGCTCAGGCGTCTAAACTTCCCCACTGGCAAAATGCAATGATGGAGGAATTCCAGGCTCTTCAACGACAACACACCTGGACGCTTGTTCCACCTCCTCCCACCGATCCCATTCTAGGTTGTAAATGGACATTCAAGACAAAAGTTCTCCCGAACGGCAAAATAGACCGCTACAAGGCTCGCCTAGTCGCTCAAGGATTCGATCAGCAACAAGGAATAAATTACTCAGAGACTTTCAGTCCTGTTGCAAAGATGACAACCATTCGGGTCTTACTCACGTTGGCTCTGCATCGTGACTGGCAGATTCTTCAACTGGACATATCAAATGCGTTCCTCCATGGTGATCTGTCCGAAAGAGTCTATATGAAACAACCTCCTGGTTTCATCGACTCAAACCATCCGACTCATGTCTGCAAACTTCAGAAATCTATCTATGGCCTCAAACAGGCGCCTCGTCAATGGTTTCAAAAGCTCACCTCTCATCTTCAGCATTTTGGGTTCAGGTTTAGTCGTTCTGACCCATCCCTTCTTATATTTCAACAAAACAGCATTCAGATCTTCTTCCTCATTTATGTCGACGATATACTTGTAACAGGGAACGATCAGCCCATGATTCAGTCACGTTTACATCAGCTCAAATCTACATTCGCGCTGAAGCAGCTAGGACCTGTTTCACTGTTTCTGGGCATACAAATCAGCAAAACCGATTCCGACTATTTCCTTCATCAAACACATTATGCAGAACAGCTCCTCCAAACGGCCAAATTGGAGGAATGCAGTTCGACTCCGACACCCATCACCCCGTCAAAAGGGACTTCAGAAAACTCCAAACAACTCTTCTCCGATCCTACCCTCTATCGCAAGCTCGCCGGATCTCTACAATATCTCACCATCACTCGTCCAGATATCGCATTCGCCACAAATCGCTTATGTCAGCATATGCACAAACCTACTGAGCAACATTTCAAATCCCTCAAAAGATTACTCCGGTATGTCAAAGGCACCATCAACTATGGCCTTCCTCTCACTCGTGGGAACCTTCAGCTCACCTCATATACGGATGACGATTGGGCATCCGACAGTGACGACCGCAAATCTATCTCAGGATTCTGCACATTTCTCGGCGATACACTAATATCATGGACTGTTAAAAAGCAGCCAACTGTCGCTCGATCTTCTACAGAAGCGGAGTACCGGGCTCTAGCTGCTGCAACAACCGAAGTCCTGTGGCTGCGTCGTCTGGTAGAAGAACTTCATATTCCTCAAAACTCTCCTACAAAGATCTACTGTGACAACACCTCCGCCATATCTCTAGCCAAGAATCCGGTCTTTCACGCACGGACAAAACATATAGAAATCGACCATCATTTTATCCGCCAACATCTTAACTCCGGCTCCATCACTATTCACATATAGCCTCAGCCGCTCAGATCGCCGACGTCCTCACCAAGCCACTACCAACATCACAGTTTGAAGAATTACGATACAAATTGACCATTCGGCCTCCGAATGCTCAATTTGAGGGGGTCTCTTAACGTTATGTACACGTCAGACATTATTATATGGCTTCTTTGTAATTACCGGGATCCTCTTTCCTCTCTCCAAGTCTATATATGTAACTCCACATTCATTAATAAGATTCATCTTTTCCATTATTTCCTTTACTGTGTTTCGCTTCCACTAGGAGCCCTTCTCGGCTCAGCTACTCTTTCATGGTATCAGAGCAAGGCTCTGCCATGGCAGATCAAGATTCCTCTGCAACTCTGTCTCCCTACCCCACCAACGTCACCAATACCGTTCAAGAACTCGTCATCCCTCCTTCCCTCAAGTTTCTCATCTCAAATCTCAAGAATCTTGTTCCAACTCCCCTGTCGTCCGACAATTTCCCTATATGGCGCTCTCAGCTTCTTCAACACTTCTCGGCAAATGGGTATGCCGGATTCCTCACTGGTGACATTCCCTGCCCGCCGGATTCATCTACCGCTGATCAACAAAAATGGAGACTCATCGATCACAACTTGATCTCTGCCTTATACTCCACCATTTCGCCAGCCATTCTCCCCTTCGTTCTTTCGTCAACCACTTCTCAAGAAGTCTGGCAGATTCTAAATAGACGTCTGCAATCTACGAACCGTTCAAGAGTGATCCAACTCAAGAACGAGTTGCATCACATTCAGATGCGGAACTCTTCAATGCAACAGTACTTGATGCAAATCAAGACGCTGGTTGACAACATTGCAACCTCGGGCTCTCAGCTCGACACTGAAGACATAATCCTCTACATTTTGAACGGCCTCCCCTCTACCTACAACTTGTTCAAAACAGCGATTCGGACCTCCCTCAATCCCATCGATCTTGATACTCTCTACTCTCTTCTATGCAGCGATGAGATCAATATTCAGCAAGAAATTCATAAAGAAACATCCGATTCTACCGCGCTCTATGCCCAGTCTTCTCAAGCAAACCGCACCAAGAACTACAATCGCTACAGCAAGAACCGCTCAACCAACAACAGAAACTCTAACTCCGGAAATCAAAGGCAAAATCCGGCGTCTAACATGACAGAAAGAGTAGTCTGTCAAATTTGCGGGAAAAATGGGCATAATGCTCTAAACTGTTGGCACAGGTGTAATCTAAAATACGCTCCAACAAATCCCTTTCCCAACTCTCGGGCACTGTTCACCCAACAAAATCAATCTATCACAAACGACTGGGTTATGGACTCCGGGGCGTCGACCCACCTCACTCCGGACATCACCAATCTCCAGCAGATCTCGCCGTATCAAGGACCGGACTCAGTTTCGGTTGCAAATGGTTCATCTCTACCGATTCACAACTCTGGGCAAGGACTTCTTCCTCTTCCCGAGTCGGCTCGTAAGCTTCACTTACGAAATATACTACATGTTCCGAATTTAACACATAATTTAATTTCAATTTCTAAGCTTACCACCGATAACCATGTTTCGATCTGCTTCGATGCTAACGGCTTTGTGATTAAGGATCAAATGGACCACCGTCCTCTTCTTCATGGTCGGCTGCATAACGGTCTCTACACTCTCCGGGACATCACGACGAACAACCACCCGCAAGCTCACATGACTACCTCTGGTCTCGCTCAGCGCTGGCACGAATGTCTAGGACATTCAAATCAGGGAACTCTACGGATCTTGCGCAATTCTTTACCACATCTTGATTCGATTTCTAATTCTTTCTTATGTACCTCGTGTAATTTGGCCAAGAGCCACAAATTAGCATTTCATAAAAGCACAACTAGTTCTCCGTATGCGTTCTACTTAATTCATACTGACGTCTGGGGTCCGGCATCTCATTCGTCCCTAAATGGGTTTCACTATTATGTCATCTTCATAGATGATTATGCGGTGCGACATATATATTACAATCTTAAATATATGAATTTTTTTGGGATCTATGATAGCAGAATTGTGTATATATTTTTTATTGTTTTATGCGTCTATATGTTTGATTGATTAGTGCATACATAATTCATGAAATTGATTGAAGTATGGAGAGAAAATAAGAAAAAATGGAAAAATATATTTATAGTTCTCACAAATGGTTTGTATTTTAGGAGTGCTCATTAACAAATATATTTATGGACGCTTGAGCTACGATGTTTTTGCTTAGCAAAATAATTGCTAACAAAAATAATGCTCAATTTCTGATGGTCTGATTAGAAAAATAGATGTATTAGATTTGTCTTATGTTAAAAAATATAGAGGTAGATTTAAAAAAACTTTGTTAAAAAGTATTAGAAATTATTCTTATTTTATTAAATTTAAATGAGAATTTGATAGTTGTTCCGTCATGTCTATTGGAAATTTGAGGTCTGACTTTCCTAAATTGGATAGGTAGGTTGAAAATTAATAAAATTATTTTTTATTATAATACTCAATATATTATTTCTAAATTTGATCATGTTAAAAATGAGGAGTTATTTATAATTATTTCTAAAAGTGTAGTTATTATTTGTTACTGTGCTTTTACTGTTCTTCGCTGCATTTTAACTATGCTTGTGTTCGCAGAGACAAAACCGGACGGTTCTCTGTGCTCACTGCCCAGTCTTCGCACGTAATAATCTCTCCAAAAATAGAGAGGCCTAAGTGCTTTGGCTGATTGGACTTGCAAGTTTCATATCAGACCTATGATGCACCTGATTTTCAAATTTGGATCAGACATTGAACTGAAAAAGGAAATTATTTAGTTTAAATTCAATTAAAGTTGAAGTATAATGAAGTAATAAATATTAAAATTATTTAATAATTTAAATGATATAATATTTCTATTAATGATGCAGTTAAATGATAAAGAAATTAAATCATGAATTATAAAACATAGACATAAAATAAGTCTAATAAATTTATAAAATTTTGAACTAGCTTCCAACACAATTTATCCTCTTCAACTTATTGTCAAATAACACATAAATTAACAAGTTTTTTATTAGCAAAAGTTTAATACTTTCAAAAATAGTAGTAATGGGTTGAGAAATGATTATTTTATATTTATTAATGATATTTTTGTGGTAAATAGATTTGCATTTTTAAATGATGCAGTTAAATTGAAAACTATCTATTACAATAAATTAGTTAAAAATGGATATTTTTTAATAATAAAATAATCGATAAATAATTTTATAACCTTAATCACCTTCCCATGATGCTTTAACTGTAAATCTAGAGATTCTTTTTGTAACAATGCATGACTAATAAATTAAAAAATTATAAAAAATAATGGGAATGAATTTATAGGAATAAGCTCAATAGGTGATACATACTCATTATAACATAGATAATAAGTCATTGGACATACAATAAGCCCAATAAAATGGCATGATTAATTATCATAATAGTTATAACTATTGCATCAAGTTAGATCAGTCTTACATGACAAAGAACTATTAAAAATGATAGAAAATTAGAAATATGAAGAACTATCTTAAATTTCATTGTTTTTTTTTTTTTTTTGTACGAATTATGAAGGTATTTATAGACTCTTTTAAGCGTCTTAGAATAAAAATAAATTAAAATTAATTAGAACTAAAGTGTAAAATATCCGAAGAGAGGAAGGCAGCTAGAGGGAGCACACGGATTACAATTCTAGAGTCATGAGAAGATAGATCCAATGATTAAAACACTTAATCTGTGTGCTCAAAGATCTATACCAAGATTGATTGGCATGTGAGTCCCACCAAGGGTTGACCGTGTGTGGATAGATGCGAGAGTTCATACATTTGTAGTATGTGGGCCCCAGGGTCTCCAACACTCCCCTTAAATTGGATGGTATAAATTTACCTTCTCAATTTTGCTTACAATACTTTTGAATGTGGGATTATAATTTTTTTTTTTGTTAATATATTTATAAGTTGATTTCCTATCGACACATATAAAGCACAAATTGAACTTTTTTTTTTTCCTTTTATGAATATCTATTCACTTCTACATATTCAGTATGAGCATATCGTACTGGATTTTGAACAAGGCTTGTGCCATATTTGTTGTCACAATATATCTTCGTAGGATCTCCTCACTTGATTTTTAAATATTTCAAGGTGATTTTGATCCATGGAAGTTCACAACTTTTTTTTTTTTGAGTGATTATTTTCTTCATTATCATCACCTGTAAAAATTATGCCATCAACGTATATTATAAGAAATGTGATTGTTGATATATTATAAGAAATGTGATTTTAACATCCATTGAGTGTCTTATGAAAGGCATATAATCTCCTTGGCTTTTTTTGCATCAAACTCCATTCATTGCCTTTGTAAATCTATTAAACTATGCAAACCTTGTTCCATGTAAAAATAAAATGATCGAATCAGGGTTGTAGATTCTTATAGACTTTTTTTTTCCAGCATTCTCATGCTAGAAACCATTTCTTACATCACAATGTTACTTTGATCATCCAAGATTAGTGGCTAGAGAGATAAGGATGCAAAGTATATTCATTTTTATAATAGGAACAAAAGTGTTTTTACTGTCAATTCCATATAATTGAGTATATCATTTGGCTATCAGTCTTGCTTTATATTATTTTAGACTTCTATTCCTCTATATTTTACAAAATATATCAACTTGCATCGTATAGTTTTTTCTGTTTTGGTAGTTCAACAATCTCTCTTTAGGTTTTTTTTTTTTTTTTTCATAGAGCATTCATCTCTTCTCTTATTACATACATCTTTTCAATTCTTATTTTGAAGTGATTCTAAAAGCATTTGTAGTATTTTAATGGAATTAGAGCTGATACTTCTAAGGAAGACTTTTATGTGTTGGAGAAAAAAATTAAAAAGATATGTAATAGAAGATGTATATGATCAAAAGTTTCTTGATAGATGATTTCATAGGACTAAGTATATTTTTTTGCTATTAATTTTGCTTCTTATTGTTCTAGATTTTCATTACTCTACATTTTTTTAGAAAATATCAACTTGCCTCTTACAGTTTTCTTCCTTTTTAGTCATTTAACAATATCCCAAGCATAAATTTGTTTGTTCATCCTGAATCATCATGAATTCCTCAATTCTTGATATCTCTTCAAAAATTATCTTGATCGGGCACGAATCTCGATGTAAAATGAAGTTGGAAACTTTCGAGATTAAAATTGGGACCATCCGAACTTTGATTTCAGCAAACTTATAGCCGAACTGAACATCTCGGAAATACGAACCCAACGACACCAAATTCAACCCAATTCAAAGCCAAATGGGTCCAAATCAAGGGTTTGAAGTGCTATTGGAGAGTTTAAACCACAATTTGGATTACCAAACGGTTTCCAAACATGACGTGCTTATAATCAAATTGAGCGGCTTGACGAGATGAATCCACCAAGCCCAAGATCTCAGAATTTCGACATCACTAAGGCAATCAAATGTCCAACAAACGGTCCACAATCAAGGGATTCAACATCGGCCATCCATTCAAACCACTCCCCATTTGCCCTTGATCCTCCTCCTATTTACGGATCATGACACTCTATGAAATCTATAAATAGACCCCTCCTCCCACTTGAAAGGGATCTCCAAGCAAGAGAGAGATCGGAGATCGCTCTTGCCTCCTGCTACTCCTCGACCATTGCCTGGAGTTCCACCGGACCACCACGCGAGGCCCTGAGCTCCACCAGACCACCACATGAGGCCCTAAGTTCCGCCGGAACACAACCTGAGGCTCGGATTTTTGTCGGACCACCACCTGAGGCCCAGACTTCTATCAGACCACTACCTGATGTCCGAACTTCTGTCATACCATTACCTGAGGCCCGGACTTCTACCAGACCACCACATGAGGCCCAGACTTCTACTGTACCACCACCTGATGTCCGGAGTTTTGCCGAACCACCA